GAATAAAGCCGCCCGAGCCGAACAAGAAGCTCCGCCTTCGTGCCGGACACCGCGGCACCCCAACGTTCAAGGTCAGCTTGCAGCTCGCGAACCCGAAGCTGCTGAATAGCCCGGGGCCGCACGTCGAGGAACGAAGTGACCCTGATGTTCTCAATCTTGTCCTTGGGGACCGGCACGACAACGTCCTGCTTCGTCTTCTCCTCCTTCTTCTTGGCCTTGGGCAGGTTCATCTCTGGGGCCAGCGCCGCTGTCAAAGTGGTGTGGTCCGCTCCGGGAAACGGAGGCGGCACGTCGACCTCCTCCCAGCCAGCACTGTCATCGCTGCCCGTGGTGCGGAACTTCCGCCGTTCGTCGAGGGCCGTCTTGCCATCGTCCTGCTCCATCTCGCCCTCTTCGCTGCTCGCTTGCCCCGCGCCTCCAAGCACCACGTTGCACCATCCGTCGCCATCCTCGTCAGCGTCCAGACTGAAAAGCATCGGGCGCTCGGAGACCACATAGGCCTTTCCACCGCCTTTGGTCTTGCCCTTCGGGCCTTTTCCGCTCCGCCCCTTGCCGGGCTTTCCCCGACCTTTGCTGCCTCCTTTTCCGCACTCTGGGTCCCCAGCCCAGTGTCCCAGCTTGCCGCAGGCCATGCATCGTGTGCGGCTTTTCTCTCGGGCCACTGCCTGACGGCGCTCGTCAGTCATGCCGCCGCCGCCGTTCTTGGGCTTCAGGAAACCCCGCGCCTGCTGCACATCACGAAGCTTCTGCCGGCTCTCCTTGTAAGTGGCATAGGCCTCATATACGGCATCGTCACCTGATGCCCCTTCATCTGAGCCGCCGTCTTCACCCTCAGCCTCGTCATCACCCTCAGCCGCGTGCGCGTAGGAGTCGGGGCCGCCATCTTCATAATCAGGGTCCTCTGGGTACTCGGCCTCCTCTGCGGCAACCTCGTCCTCCTCGCCGGCAAGGTGGGCAAACTGCCGTTTGCCATATCCCTTGGGCTGTCGGCCCTTTGGCTGCCCATTGCTCCAGTCCTTCTTTTCCTTTTCGTGCACATCGAAAAAGGAAACTCTGAGGGCCTTCTCGATCCCTTCCATGTTGTAGGTAGACTGGTTGGCCAAAAGAATTTGGCGTTTGTCTTCTTTAGACAACCCAATGTTCTTCAGGGTGAAATAGGCGAGCAAATCATCACTCATCTGCACGCCCTCTGCAATATCCTGCAGATCGTTCCAGTCCTGCTTCCGTTGCCGAAGGTAACTGTCAATGGTCTGGCCTCGGCGACGATAGCACTTGTCAAAGAACTGGTCGAAGGCCTCGGTCTTGCGAATCACGCCCGCCTTCTCGATCTGCTGCAGGCTCTTCAAGATATACTCATATCCCTTCGGCTCCTTCAGCTTGTCTGCTTCCAGGAGCAAATCTTGACAGCATCGAAAAGCTTCGCCGTGCAGGGCATCCAGGAGCTTGCGTGCGAAGCGGGATCGCTTCTTTGCCAGGGACTTCTTCTCCTTCTCATCATCGTCCCCAGAGCCTTCCAGGTTGCCATAGGCAAACAGGACTCGCCGACGATACTCCCGCATGAGGTGGGGATACATCCCACTAAAATGCGGAATGCCATCCCGGTCCACCACAGTCCCGTCGTCTTTCCAGAAACTGCGGGAGTCACCGGCACCGGCCATGGCTCCGCTACCAGTGCGAAGCTCGCACTGGCAGCTCGGACCTCAATCTTTTCTACCGCCGCAAACGAAAGTGAATCTCTTGTGAAACTAGCTGTGGCAACTGCTCCTGCTGAGCTGTGGTGTCTGGTATTCAAGCAGACCGGATGCAGCTACCGGGCGGGCACATGTGCGCACCAACTTCTGACTCGGGCCAGCTGACAAGTCGACGGCGGTGCTGTTGCCATACACTCAGGCGAATTCCACAGGTATGTTTAGTATACATGTTTCTGAGGTGCACACTACGTTTTTCCTCACAATCACGTGGTGCCAAACCGAAATTCGTGGAGAATCGGGTGTGTTTCCGCTGCACGGCAGCCTCAGAACAGCGCAAGCACCTCCCAACCACGATTTTACCTCGCGATCCTGGCTGACAAGTTGTTTGGTTGCTTCAGAACAGCGCAAGAACCTCCCCACGACGACTTTACCCGAATCCAGGCTGACAGGTGATTTGTTGCCTCAGAACAGCGCAAGCACCTCCCAACAACGACTTTACCCCAAGCCTGGCCGACAGGTTGATTGGTTGCTTCAGAACAGCGCAAGCACCTCCCAGCAACGACTTTCACCCAATCCTGGCTGATAACGTTGATTGGTTGCTTCAGAACAGCCCAAGCACCGCCCAGCAACGACTTTACCCCAATCCTGGCTGACAGGTTGGTTGTTCACAACAGCGCACCTCCCAACAACGACTTTATTTAAACAGCCTGCTACCCGTAGCCAGGATTGGGGTGAAGTCGTTGCTGGGAGTTGCTTGCGCTGTTTTGAAACAACCCATCAACCAGGGTGTTGTGGGTGGAGGTGTGGATGTGGATTTGGATGTGGCGGTGTGTGGGTGTGGGTGTGGATGTGGATGTGGATGTGGCAGTGGTGGTGTGGGTGTGGGTGCGGCACAGGATGTGGATGATGCGGATGTGGGTGGGGGTGTGGGTGTGGATGTGGCAGTGGTGGTGTGAGTGGAGGTGTGGATGTGGATTTGGATGTGGCAGGGTGGTGTGTGTGGCTGTGGGTGTGGGTGGGGGTGTGGGTGTGGATGGCAATGGTGGCGCGGGTGAAAGTGTTGTTGTGGATTTGGATGTGGCGGTGGTGTGTGTGGGTGTGGGTGGGGGTGTGGCTGCGCGTGTGGATGTGGATGTGGCAGTGGTGGTGTGGGTGAAGGTGTGGATGTGGATGTGGATGTGGCGGTGTTGTGTGCGCGCTGCGGGTGTGGGTGTGGATGTGGATGTGGCAGTAGTGGTGCGGGTTGAGGTGTGGATGTGGATTTGGGTGTGGCGGCTGTGGCGGTGTGTGGGTGTGGGTGGGGATGTGGGTGTGGATGTGGATGTGGCAGTGGTGGTGTGGGTGGAGGTATGGATGTGGATGTTGCAGTGGTGTGTGTGGGTGGGGGTGTGGGCTTGGATTTGGACGTGGATGTGGCAGTGGTGGTGTGGGTGGAGGTGTGGATGTGGATTTGGATGTGGCGGTGGTGTGCGTGGGTGCAGATGTGGATGCGGGAGTGGGTGTGGGTCTGGGTGCGGCACAGGATGTGGATGCTGCGGATGTGGGTGGGGGTGGGGGTGTGGGTGCGAGTTTGGATGTGGTTGTGGGCGTGGGTGAGGCGCGGGATGTGGATGATGCGGATGTGGGCGGTGGTGGTGGTGGGGGTGTGGTGCAGTTGATGCGGTGGCTCTGGAGGCTGGTGGGTGTGGGATCTGACTTGGGCGTCATGAGCTGCACTGTTGCTGGGTGTTGCGTGGCTGAGCGGGCTGCACTGGATGGGTGGTGGTTGCGACAGTGGGGGTTGGCGGTGCTTCATGGGGAGACGGAGATGGCAAAGGAGGAACGGGATAAATTGGAATTATTCAGCTGCAAATTGCAATTTGTAAATATGAATCGGAATTACGGCGGGGGAATTCGAATTTATAAATGTATATAGGAATTACGGGCAGGGGAAATTCCAATTTATAAATGTAAAGTGGAATCACAGCGGGGGAAACTCCAATTATAAATATAAATGGACTTACCGCGGGGGCAAATCCAATTTATAAATATTAATTCGTATATATTTTCGGATATCATTGGTTTATAATACAAAACAACGGATATACAATCGTTTTAACGGAATTCCATCTCAACCCGTAAATATTCACCACCGCCCCCCAGACCCCGCCAGGACTCCTCGCCCTGGACCCCAGCGCCGCACGTGCCTTGGGGCGGGCTCCAGGGAAACACCAAGCTCCCTTCTCATTTCCTTCCCTTTCCCCACCTGCCTCTCCGGTCTCCTCCCGCCCTGCCTCTCTCCAATTCCCTCCTTTTCCCTTTCACCTTCGCTTCTCCTAGTTGGTGGTGTATCGTATACCTGAAACCGTCAACCTTAAACCTCTAAACCCGTAGACAAGCCGACAACCAATTAACCCTAGCACCTCAAAATCCTAAGCCCTTGGACCCTGCATCTCGAAACCCGCCCACCAATAAACCCTAAACCCTCAAACCTTACATAACGCTACCCTAAACCTTCAAAGTCAAGCCCGTGCAATTTCGGCCAACAGGTTTGTAAACCCTCAACCCTCACCTCAATCCCTATTTATCAACCTTTACCCTCAATGCTTAAACTTCTAAGCCTGCCAGCCCCCTAACCCTGATCCCTATCCCACGAAACCACCAAAGCAATAGTTTCATGTATGTACGTGTATGTATGCGTGTGTATATATATATATGTGTGTGTGTGTGTGTGCGTGCATGTGTGTACGTATGTACTTACATGAATAATAAATAAATAAACAAATAAAAAATACATAGTTGTATATATATATATATACGTACATATGTATGTATGTATGTATGTATGTATGTATGTATGTATGTGTGTATGTATGTATGTATGTATGTATGTATGTCAATGTATGTATGTATGTACGTATGTATGTATGTAGGTGGGTAGGTAGGTAGGTAGGTAGGGAGGGAGGGAGGGAGGGAGGGAGGTGGGT